GATGTGTTATAAATGAAAAAAATTTATATAAACAAAAAGAATTTTGAATAAAAATAGAATATATTTTTATTTAAGAAATAAATACACAATTCATCGCATATGTTCAGAATTAAAACAGCGTTATTGAAGAGATAAAAATTTATCTTATAGCATTATTGATTGCTGAATGTGGAGTCAATATAGATCTACTCTAGAATAGAACATCATCAGAGTAAAGTCTGTTTTCTTTTTTAGGATTTAACTTTTATTTTGTACATTGTATTTTATATATCTTTATACGTATTTCGGTATACGTATTCGCTTCTTCCTTCATCAGAAGAATTCCTAATCTTTAGAGTAATCTAGGATTCTTATAATAGTATTAGTAGACATTTATATTTTTCATAAATACATACATCAAATTCCACTTTATTTGTCAAGTCATAAAAAACAGCTGTTGATTTTAGGATATTTATTCTAGTCGGATAAAATATCTAGAGTGTTATAAATTAATCTTAAGTGGTATACATTTCGCTCGAGATTTCACTAATTGAAAATGAAAATAACACTAAAAGTGAATCTCGATTGAAATTACTTTAACAGTATGTCCAAGCTGGTATTTATTTATTTATTCATTTAAACAAATTAAACAGACTCTGGTTTTTAAGCCAAGTGTTCAAATTTAATATATAGAGTAACAAATAAATTTAAATATAATTTTAAAAATATTTTCACAGACCTGAAATCCTATAAAATATAGTCCAGTGGCAACAAATCGCATAGTCATGGCAAAATTACACGTCCTGGAAACTAGTCAAAGTATTCAACGGCGAGAAAATACCGTTTTGTTAAAACATTATATAGTCCAGATCCTTCTTTTCAATATTAAGCCGAAAAATGTTAAATATATATAGCGATAGAAATTGACGTTTTATGGTCATAATATGGTCATAAACCATTGGACGCTTTGGTTTTCCAACAGCTACTTGTAGATTTTTTGTGTCAGATGCGATAACTTTTGTTTTTTACATATTCATCGAGACATAAATTAGCTTTATTATTGAAAAAAATTGGATACCATGGTCATCATTCAAACGTTGTTGCTTGAGGACCTAGTTAGAGTATGCTCTATGTATGGTGTGAGTATCAAGTTTCAATTTCTCTGTTAGCAGAATTTTATAAGAATGAAGATAAAAATCTAAATACAGAATAGACTGTAAATTCGACTGAAATGCAGTCCACTTTATTTAATGGATGGAGTTGAATTCTAACACTCGCAACAACAATATTTTCTGTCGGTCTTCCTTTTCGATTATATGTAAGCCTTAGCTTATGTGTTACAGAACTAAAATCTTCGTATTTCTTCTTAGTTTTGCTTATATTATACTTGAATCTGCGATTATGTCGAACGTTATGTATGATATTTTTAATAATGAATTAGTAAGTTTTACGATAAGTTTTTACAATATTATTACGTTCAGTGCTTGTTAAACGGTTAGTATTGTAAAATGGTAAACATAAGGATAAACATATAACGATTTGGATGACAGTTGTATTTAAAATAATGTGTCTCTGAAATAATATTTCTGTATCAGGATCACAAATTAGATAACATGTTAAATATATTAAAGTAACCAATACAAATATATTACTTAATTATAAGTAAGCAAAATAGTTTAAATCGGTAAGATGTAGACTTGACTGCTTTAGTAGCGGGATATTGGTTCCAAACCAAATAGGTAAAATTAAGCCCAAAGTAATTACGATATTTATACGTAGTTTAGAATTGTTTTAGTTGGGCATTTAGATGCATAATTGATCTTTTAGATCGCGGTGCATTCATAGCCTATTATTCAATAATAATAAATGGTTTAAATGAAATCCAAAAGTTTGTTGAAATCACTAACTTTAATTAAATAGATGTTTCGAAACTATATTCCATATTATCTATATGATCCAAAAGTTTTTGTACATAAATACTTTCACAAGAGACTTCTCTATAAGAGAGGTATCAAACAATAATGAATTTCAACAACAAACATTTTTATTTTATTTCGAATTTAATTTTTGGAATTTAATATTGCCAAATACATATCATCAGTGGTCTCGAAATTATTTTTTAAATTAAAATTTTCGTAAATATAACTGTTCATAAAAATTCTAGAAATAATGGAATAATTGATTTATGAAACATTTTCATTTAAATTAAATAAAAATTTTGGCAATGCATAGCTCGTTCTTTGTATATAAAATTAAATTTATTCAATTTAATTAAATTAATAATTGTATATTTTAAACAAATATTAATATTAAATTATAAAATTTCGCATTTAATTTAATTTTAATTTTATGTCTACTCATTTATTTGCATTTTTACTTAACATTATTTATATTAATAAATAATATGAAATAATTGTTATAAAAATACAAAAACTGTGATATGAAAATATATCAACTTATTTGCATATAAAATTAAAATTTTCTGAATAAAGTAAATTTCCATGTTCGATAGAAAAATTAAATAAAGCACATCAATCGCCTGTCAATTGCCTAAGGAAATGAAAGTTTCGATGAGATTAACCATGAATGACAACCTTTTTAAATAAAAAAGATATATATATATACAAATAGGTTTACCCAAGAGCAAGAACCAATTTAAGTTGACAAGTATTTATTTGTGCTAAAATTGCCAATTTAAATGCAAACAAATAAAAACTACAAAATGACAATCACATCCTGAAAGTTCAGTGAGTGATGTGATTTATATTCATCATCAAGCAAAAGGTGACAATACATACGAGTGTGTACTATATATAAAGAAATAAATTTATAAAATAATATTTTATTATATGTTTTTTATATTATATTTATTTTGTTAAAAAATTTTATATACAAAGTATGCATTTTTTCACTAACAACTGCAGGAAGTTGTACTGAAATATCACTGATGACTCAAATGAATGAAGTTATATTTCACGAATTACGAGAATGAAATATATTTGTGAGGGAATTTTATTAAATTTATAATGAATAATAAATAATTTTTTTATTTAAATATTTTGCATTTTATTTTATAGAAAAAGAATGTCGCTCCTTTACATTTCTTTTACAGAAAAACTGCATAAGTCGCAAGCGTTCTTTTTTAAAAAAATATAAGAAATATTTAAATGAGAAAATATACGAAAAAAATATTCAGAAACAATTCATATTGTGAATTGCTGTATAATATTGTAGTAAATTATTTAAATAAATTAATATTAAATATAAAATATTTCAAGCCAATTAAGTTAATGAAAAACTTAATATCAGGATAAAATGCATTCAATGGAGTGGTGTAGCAAGGATTGCTTCAAGGGAATAAGGCGTACTATGTATAAAATATTTTTTGTCGTAACGTCTTCTTACAGTGTATTATTTATAGATTTTGTTGTCAAAGAAGGGAATCTATCCACTTAACCCCGTCTACCCTACCTACACTGCTAGGTGATTTAATCGATATATGTCTCCTACAATAGAAGTTTTGGATATGCTTAAGTTTTGTGTTGAAATAATTTCATTGATATAATTTTTCTAATATCATTCATTCATTGATTAATTCTAAAAGAAAGTGAGGTTATTAGACAATTTTCTGATACCATGTAATCTATATACTTAATACGGACAAAAAATTCAATGACATTCTTTAAAATTAATTTTTTCATTAAAATTTAATCATAAGTCCAAGTTGAATATAAAATATTAAATTGTTGGTATATAACTTGAAAACAACCTTATAAATAGTTACTGATACATAATGGGAATTAGACATACACAATTTGAATTATTTAAACTAATTGTTAAGAGTTTAACCACTTAAGTTTTAAATGCAATGAACTACACTTTCAAGACAAGTCCTAGCATATAAAAGATCTTGTTTAAAAAGCAGATTCTCAGAAACCTGATGGTTCTTCTATGGGGTTTTGAGATTATTTTAAAAAAATTTTTTTTGAGATAATTGTCGTTTGGACAGTAATTGAGGATAGTAAAGTTAATAGGTGTTCTATTTATAAAAAAAATATCCTTATATAAAGTTGTTTCTTATTATGGTTCTAAAAGTAAAAATTATGGCTCAGAAAGCAAAAATAATTTGTATAAAATAATGAAAAGTTCAATAAAAATTTTATTTCAGTATATTGTTTTAATCTTGTACCATTATATGCAAAAATACTATTTATCAAATGATTATTCACCTGACGACTCACAGTTCTAGAAACTTTTGAGGTAGTTTTCAATTACTTATTGGCACTTAGCTGGCAAAAACTCTGCTACACTTAAAGAATGTTCTTTCCCAAACCGTTGAGAGTTCCCTTTACATGAGATCCTTTATATAACCCCCCAAAAAATTACAGTGCTGTGAATCATTTGGCGACTATATTAAGCATACGTAAAATTTCATATCTTAAAAAATTTTTCACTTAATAAAACAAACGGGGTTGTACTGTGTTGCTTGCAGCACTACGCTGTTTAAACTATCCATCTCTCACGTCTATAATATAAATTTTAGGTCATGAGGATTGATAAACATGTGGTTGTAGCAATTAGAATTTACGGTTTTGGCACATCTTTTCTGTTTTTGATATGCTAAATATTATGAGTCAATCTAACACCAGACCAACAAAATAAATGCCACTCCATACATCCTTATAAATGACTTTTCTCCCAGTGGAGTTTGCTAACAAACCGTATACTAACTAATTCCATTCCATATATTTAATCCATAATGCCATTAATTACATTCATTTTTCATTTTTTAAATCAGAGCATCGAAATATATGCTAACTTTCAAAAAACTCTCAGTATAGTCAACAATTGTAATAATTATTCCATATTATTTTTCTTTGAAGGGCATAAAAATCCATTACTTATTCCATTAAAACTATATTCATAATCCATTTCAATATTATTTTAAGTAGAAGTTCATATTAACATAACACATTTCCTTAATTGTTGACATAAATATTTAATTATTTCTTTCTTTTCAGCTCAACACTGAATCCTTGGCAGATCACAAACGCCGTCATTGTCACTTCCAACGCCAAGAAATACATGAACTTCAATTGGCGCAACGTAGCATGCGGCGCAAGCTGAACGAACTGAAATACCACCGCATTGACGAACGCGTACGCAGCATCGAAATAGAGCAACATCGTCTTGCGGATGCCAATTTCAATTTGAGTCGCCAAATTGCCACGTTGGACAAATTGCATTTGTCGATGCTGGAACTGCTGGAGGACGTAGAAGGTCTACAAACTAAAATTGACAAGAATGTGCCCGAGCTACGGCATGAAATATCCAAATTAGAATTTACAAATGCACAACTAACATCCGAGCAGAATATGCTGCGTGAGGAAAGCAAAAATATGGCACGTTCCATACAAGCCATGGCAATGAGTGTAAGCACTTTACAGGATGAACGTGACGGCGTCCGGAAAATGGAAACAACTGTAACCAAACTCCAAGCACAAGTCGATCGTTCACAAAGTGTCCTACAGGATGTGCAACGAGCATTGACACATCACAGAAGAGCTGACAATAAGGTAAGCAAGATTGTGTCAAATAAAATGAAAGTTAATTAATTTAATTAGCAAAATGTTGACCTAATTTCATTTAAACTTTGATTCACTTTGTTATAACCAACAATTCTCACACAACTTAGGGAGAATATTGTTAGCACATAAGTTGCATTAATGCATTAGAAAACTTATTTTGATTACACAAAATGTTATATAACCGAGAGATACATTGTGACCGAAAAGTTTTCGGAAATTCTCATTTAAAATTCGCGCGCTGTATATTTTTCGATACTTTAAGTTTATGTAGTTTGGCAGCACTGTCCTTAATTACTATGCCAAAAATGAGCGCGATCTGTCAGACAGTTCGTTTACGGCAGCTGTTGAAACCAGTTCACCTCAGTAGTGCGTTGCGAAAAAAAACAATGGAAAAAAATATTGATCAAAGAGTTTGCATCAAATTTTGTGTTTCGAACGAATTTTCGTGTGCAGAATCGTTGCGAATGCTACAAAAGGCTTATGGGGAATCAGTTTTATCGAAAACTCAAGTTTATGAGTGGTACAAAGCCTTTCAGGACTGTCGTACGACCGTCGAAGACATGCCGCGTTCTGGACGACCTTCGACCTCTACCACCGACGAAAACATTGAAAAGGCAAAGGAAATCGTGTTCAAAAATCCTCATGTGAGTGTTAGAGAGATAGCACGAGAGCTAGGCATCGGTCGTGAGATGGCTCGTTTGATTTTGGTGGACAATTTGTGTATGCGACGTGTCAACGCTCGGCTTTTTCCGATTCACCTCAATTTGTTCCAAAAACACCATCGTGGACAGGTCTCGTTAGACATGCTTGATCGTGCCAATTCCGATCCAACTTTCATGGAACGCATCATAACGGGTGACGAGACATGGGTCTACGAGTACGACATGCAAACAAGCCAACAATCATCGGAATGGAGAGGAAAAGACGAGCCGAAACCGAAAAAACCACGCCAAAGTCGCTCGAAAATCAAGGCAATGCTGATTGTTTTCTTCGATATTCGTGGTGTGGTGCATCATGAATTCGTCCCTGAAGGACAAACAGTCAATAAAGACTATTTTTGACTGTTTAGACTTTGCGTGAAAATATCCGCCGTAAACGGCCTCAATTGTGGAAGGATAATTCATGGATTTTTCATGACGATAATGCTCCCTCGCACCGAGCCAACATTATCAACGATTTTAAGGCCAAAAATTCAATAAATACCATCGAACAGCCACCGTATTCACCTGATCTTGCACCGTGTGACTTTTTCCTGTTTCCCAAACTCAAATTACCACTCAGAGGAACGCGTTTTGAATCCATATAAGACGTAAAACAGAATTCGCAGAGGGAACTCAAAGCCATACCGGAAAGCGCCTATAAAAAATGTTTTGATGATTGGAAGAAACGTTGGCATTTGTGTATCGCTTCTAATGGAGCATATTTTGAAGGAGATAAAATAAATATTGATGAAGATTAAGAATTTTGCGTTTTATTTAAAATTTCCGGAAACTTTTCGGTCACAATGTACTATGCTCCAGCTGATGAAAACCAAACAAATTAAAAGATTTTATAAAAAAATTACATTAAAATATTTCACTGACAATAAACAATGACAACTATTTGTATTTTATAATTATCCAACAAAATCAAGACGCTTCATTTCCACAAAAATGCTATTTATAAGCACTTTTGTTATTGTGAAATGCTTGATTTTTTAACAAAATATATCTCTATAGTTCAAAAAACTAGTTCTAGGGATAGATAGCCGTAAAATAGTTCAAATAATTTCCAGAAATTCTGTGCATACAGTTATGACCTGTATATAAACTAAAAAACCCATTACAATTAATACAAGGGCTAAATATCTTGGAATGCAACTTTACTATACAACTATAATAAAGAGAAAAAATTAAAAAACAAAAAACAACAAAAAGATATTAATTGTTTCAAATAACAATTAATTTTCAAAAAAATTGCTTATTTACTAAACAATACTCATACCAATTCGAAGTTATGGCACTAAAATATAGACTAGTTAAAAATGCTTCGCACTATCTTGAATGCCGATTAATATGTGTATGTTATATAGAGACATCCATTGAGAGCTTAACATCGACACAGTAACCGAAGTAATTCAAATATGTAGCATAAGCCATAAATATCACTTAATAAGTGACTCATACCCACACTCTAACTTAGCCCCGATAGAAATTCTGGATAAAGATATTACACAGCTAAGAAGATTGACGCACAACAGACTTAAAGAGCTAACAAGTATACTTTTTTTTCATAAAGCCTAACAAAGAAGGGTGCATTGGTCCAGAAGGTCCTTTCATTGGTCCAGAGCTCTCCTGCGGGGTAACAAATAGCTTCACAAACAGCTTATTATGTGAACGGGAGAAACAACATCTACTTGAACACTGGAGAGCCCAAACAGGCATGCGACAGTCAAAAAGATTTATTGATTACATCAAAGTTGATGCTATCCTTGACCTTAGCAGAAACGATATTAAAATCTACACTGAACTTCTTACAGGACACTGTAGACTTAATTACCACATGAAGATTATAGGTGTGGTAGAAAGTGACTCCTGTCGACTCTGTCATGAGGAGAAGGAAACATCAGAACATGTTTTATGCAACGGCCCAGCGGTGGCGATTACCTATAATGCCTAACTTTACCAATTGTTTTTTTTATTCAATATGTGTAATATGTGTACTGATATCTATATATAGTATATATATAGTTCAAATAGTTCACATATACATATAGTTAAAATTTATTAATATAAATGCTAAATAAAGCTACTTCATAATTTAATAAGAGAAAAATATATATTTGGTCAAGCAGTTTGATTTTTCAATTCACAAATAAATTGGATGCTTTAAGTTATATTCCTTGATTCGAAATCAAGAATTTTAATTATAAACCAACATAGCTCAATAAATGCTACAATAATTTAAATTAATATTTTTATGTACGTAACATGAGTAGGGATCATTAAAATCTTATTTAATCTGAATATCGCTTAATATTTTTGTACTGAATATATAATATATCGGACATAATATGAGTAAGGTCTACTAAAATCTTCTTTAATTTCAATAGAACTCAAATAGCTTATTACTTTTTAAACTGAATATATAACTAATACATATTTTTAATACATCTTGAAGATATATATAAACTACATTAAATTCTTTCTTTGTATTTGAAAATAATAAAACTTGAGTACCAGTCAATGAACACTATTTTTACTGATTACATTTTTGAACTATGTCTTTTATAAATCTGAAGGATAGATGAGTTGCTCAACATCGTTTCATTTGCATTTTGAAATAATAATATTTGAATACTGACCACAGAAAGTATATGACATATTTCATTGTATCTAGAAATAGTAATATTTTATTGCCAATACCAGATAATAAGTTATAGTTTTACATATTTAAACTGATTGAACTGCTGTGACAAATATAAGTATTTCTAACTGCTTCCAATATATTTTCTGATATATCTAATAACTGATATAAAAATCTTTTATTATTTTGTTGAGAATATTTGTAATAATTAATAATTAATATTTTGATTGAAAATTAATTAATAGCTCAGTGATTATTAAAAGCTTCCATTTGATAATATCTTAATTTTATGTATATTTTTTTTTCTTATATTTTTAGCTTCAACAATATGGAATTGATTTCAATGATGAACTAGAAAACAACACTAATAGTGTTAACAATACCAACAATACGAATTTATCTCAAAATGCTGAAACATTGGTTGAAAAGTTAGAAAAGGTTGAGTTACAATACGAGTCCATCATAAATAAATTACCACAAGATTGCAGTGATGTTGCACAAAGTACTGAAGGTCTTTATTTGATTGCGCCTGCTGGTCAGCATCATCCATTAATGGCCCATTGCACAGCAGATGGCTGGACAACTGTACAACGACGTTATGATGGCAGTGCTGATTTTAATCGTTCGTGGGAAGATTATGCTGCCGGTTTTGGCACACCTGCTGGTGAATATTGGATTGGTAACGAGCAATTGCACCATTTGACCGTGAATAACTGCACCGAATTACGTATAATTATGCAAGATATTTACGACAATGTTTGGCAAGCACAATACAGTAACTTCTATATAGCTTCACGCGCTGATGGCTTCCGCCTGCACATTTCCGGCTATCGTGGCAATGCATCAGATGCTTTAGACTATCAGCAGGGTATGCAATTCTCAGCGATCGATGTAGATCGTGACATCTCACAAACGCACTGTGCTGCTAACTATGAGGGTGGATGGTGGTTCTCTCATTGTCAGCATGCAAATTTGAATGGACGCTACAATCTCGGTTTGACATGGTTCGATGCGTCGCGCAATGAATGGATTGCCGTCAAATCAAGTCAAATGCAAATAAAGCGTCAATCAGCAGCAGTTTGTGCTTATAGAAATGCTAAACGATATGCTGCAACTGCTTCTGATGTGACAAGTGCGACGACAATTATATCTAGCGAAGTACCGACAACCACAACAACAGCAACGTATTCATCCGGTGTACAAGTGTAGAATGCCTTTCAGAGCATTCATACAAATCATCATACCATGGAAAACCCAAACACATTAAAATTATAAAACTATAAACAATTACATACGCGTATCTTTGCTAGAGTTAGAACCACCATAGCCATGCCTGCTGTAGTTTGACGTGCAGAGCGTTCATATATTATTGCGTATGTGAGAAGTCAATAGATTTATGCGTTACGATAAGGCGTCATCCATGTGGAGATACTCATTACTATAAAATTTTGTAAATATTTTCAATATATAAAGGCAAGTTGTGAACATGCTTTCTATGTAAGTCCAGAGTTACTATTTAATTAAGTTGTATTTATATTAGAATTTCTGATATGTGTGTATTAATAGTGTATACTTAATAATAGTTAATATTGTGTATAGTTATATAATAAATTAAATTTTTTAAGGCTTATATATTAATATAGGTCTTTAATAATACTCGCAAAAATATTTAGAATGAAACTCATGTGGAAGATACTACGACTGTTATTATAGTAGGTTCTGCTTAAAAATTTTTAACAAATACCTATAAGAGGGATATTCCTCTATTAGAAGAACTTCTTACTGAGGCGGTCTTTTCTATTGATTAATATTTTTACCAAATTATCTACCCAAACACAACCATAATTGGTTCCCATCTTTGGTAAGATTGCAGTTTTTTATTATCAAATAAGACTACGTTATAATTTCGTAGTTTTTATGTGATGGTCATGTTTTTTAGGGAGAGTATCAAAATTTATAGAGTAGTGGCTCTGAGTTAAGTAGAGCACTGCCACCGTAGTAGATATTTTGTGCGATGACTAATATTAAATGAACAGAAGACATTTAACTATTTGAATGCAGGACAAAATATTTTTTACAGAAAATTTCTGAATATCGGAAATAAGACCTTCCAGCCCATCTGTCATCTTCACCAAAACTATAGTTAGAGAGTCACATATAGGACCTCTTGGTTCAACTCTCATTTTGACTAAAATTAAAGCCACGCAGCCACAAGTAACGGAACAAAAAGTCTAATTTTCCTCTTTTTATATAGCCTTTTCAAACAGACCCTACTTTTGAAATAAATATAGGCCATAATGAGACCTTTGATAATCTGTCAATAGTATTAATTTCTTCATAGAAACAGTGAACTTTAATTTTATATATATAATTGTAACTGAGAAATAATAATTGTTTCTATGAATCGAATTCGGATCATCTGTTCTATATCCTGTTTCAACTCAGATTAGAATTACGCTGTTTATGGTAATCGCAATTTTTATTTCCGGCTTATTGAAGCTCTTAGAGAATGAGTAGATATTAAAAATACTTAGTTGCACTTATATTCACAGATATAAGTAACCATTCATATGGTAGAAAAAATAGAGTATTACTTCTACTAAATATTATAGTCTATTAAAATAAATGCTT